ATAAATCAAATACTATAATATACTATAATAGAAAGATTAGAAGTACGATATAACTTTAACATTTGTTTTTATTTTTTGCACGGGCAACGCCGGGCTTGTCTGCTAGTATAATAATATATACTGTAATTACTAAATTTGTTTCATTGGGAAACTCATTTTAATCGAATTAACAAGTGTTTTATTTTTCCTTGTTACGTATACATAACAGCCGGGAAAGTATTTGAATCGCGTCAAATTTAACCCTCAAATTTTTGCAAATCTCTGAACTCAAAAAGAAAGCAAAAAAAGGGGGTAGAAATTTCTGTGGTTATGTATGCTTGTGTTGACGTCCAGGGGCGCCGCTAGCAGTTTGAACGCCCATGTACAACAAGGTCTGTATAAGAAGGTCTGGACACGTGTGACCTACTTATTGAGCCGCCATTTTGGGGTATTTTGCGTCGCATGTTTTAAGCAAACTTGTACGAGCAGTCTGTTTTATACGACATTAATTAAACAAAAATTGCATAAATCCAGTGATTTTCAGTCGAAAATATAATAATAATTTCGGATGATTACGCAACCCCAATTTTATGTAACTTTTCGATCAAATAGTTTAAAAGAAACAATCATCTATATCATTTTCTGTCGCGATTGAAACTAATTAAATAGGTGCTAAAACTGATGCAATTACGTATATAGACACTTCGTAAAGTGATGCAATAACATCAAAAAAAATTTAAAGTATAATAAAGAATATAATAATATAACAAATTTATAATTATTTTTTAAAAGCACGATTGGCTATAAAATTAAGATAAAATTCAATAGTATTATTAATAAATGTTGTCAATGTAATACTCATTTTATAATAAGTAATAGATGTGTAGATATATTTTTAATTTATAAATAGCTTTCAAAAAATTCCAAATATAAAATTTTAAATTAAATTATTTGACAATAAACTGACAAATAATACTTGAATAGAATACAATATATTCAAACAAAATATGAATATTTGTTGCCATAGCAAAATAATGCTAAAATTTTCTTTTTTACAATTAAATAGTCAATTTTACTTTAATTAAATAAAATCTGTTTTTAAATGTTCAGGATAAAAGATTTGAATGATCAGTGGAAAATAATTATTGAAACGCGAACGAAAAAATTAAATATAAATAAAATCAATTAAATATTATGGAATCTCTAGATTATAAGAATTAGATACATTTAGATTTCCATCACGTCTTTTAAAATAAAAATTCTGACAATAAAATTAATGTAAATTTTATTTAAATTGAATTAAGTATAAATTACTATTAAACTAAATTTTTTGCAATGTTTTATTAATAAATATTGAGAGTATAAGTCAATACCATCATCATAATTTTATTTTTAAATACAATATGGTCATATAAAACAATTACATGCTTAATTATTTTATCACCAGATAGAAAAATGAAAAAATTACATTTGTTTTATATCTGGATTGCCAATATCGTTTATAAATTTCCATGTATAGTTCGTTCATAAACACGAAGAGTATCTACTCGTTTAGACCACTTGTTACAAACTTTAAACATATAAACTCTTTGAACTGCATCATGAACCATCAGTTGATGCCTACGCTACATTTTGCTTTCCTCCGCTTATCTGCAGGAAATCTGAACAATCGAACGTCGGTAGACTTACTTTTACAATTAGGTGCAACACAATAACCCATTGCTTAACGTTTTAAGTACGTATATAAGTAATAATAGTCGACTCATGCAAGAACCACGTATGGTGAGCTCTATCGACGAGTCCCAAAATGGCAGCTGCCGCATAGAATCACGGGAGCGTGTCCTGACCTTCTTATACAGACCTTGATGTACAATATCGATTATGCCGCCCCCTGTTTAACTACGATTACCTACGCTGAGCTTGCCAGAAAGGCTCTTTAGTGTTGTCTCATAAGGGTGTGAAAAAAAGAAAAGAAAAATACTTTATAAAGAAAATCTATTTATTATTACTAAGTTATTTTTGTTTACTTAAGTGTAAAACCATATAAATATTTATCTATAGAAATTGAACTTCTCTTGCCTTTTGTTTGCGAAATCTGCTAACAATTTTCATGTATCCAAGCAGTCTAAATTATGTTCAATTGAAAATATAACTAAATTACTTAATCTTTGTTGGTGCGTTGTTGATCTTAAATAGTTTTTTTATAATTTTAACTTTGAAAAGGACCCTTCACCAAATGCAACTGAAACCGGCAAAGTAATATTCTTAGTGCTATTGCTGTGTTCGGAAATGTTGAAGTTAAGTCATTAATTTAAAGATAATTTAAAGATAATCATTAAAAAGATATTGTAATAAAGTTTGAGGATCATTAGACTGGTTTTCTGGAAAATGCAACTTTAAAGTATTGATTTCATTAAATAAATCAATACCGTAAATGCCTGTTTCACTACTTGAATCGTCTTTAAGCTTCAGATTTAAATCCTAACCAAGTTAAAATATCATTAATTACACTTAGACCCATGTCAGAAGAATTATTAACAAAATAATTGCAATTTGATATGCGATAGAACTGTTCGAATGCGTACAAGTACAAATTGAGAAGGAAGCCCTGTGGGGATTCCCTAATTTCGCCAGTCCTGTCAACTTCTGTCATAGAGCATGACTATAAGTACTTCGCTTTCGGGCGCCGCCGGATAGTTCAACCTGCCAACAGACGTTTCGCATTGCATCCTAATTCTGATAAATGTCAATAGAGGCGCTATTAATGCTATAATATAGGCTAAATAAGAATATAGTAATTGCGCTCCGGTCGGATTTTTTTCTCCTTGCGAAGACATTTCTTATTCTATAAGTAGGGTGGATATTGGGACAATGACTTTGAATATTACGTGACCGATCGCTCGATTTGCCGGCCCCCTGGACGTGCCGCCCGCGTGCAGTGCAGCACGCCCGCTTACGGCGGGCCTGTTGACGTCTATTTCGTTTAATATCTCAGGATGGAGTAATAATGATAAAAAGAAATTTGGCATGATAGCTTGTGTGTAAGGGGCATTGATGCTATTAAATTTTGGTTTTGAAAGGTCGACGGATGTCACGTGTCATATCTCGTTTGGAGTCTGATGTAATGGAAATTTTATTTGTTGTTAGCATTTAGTTTATTTTTAAAATTCGTCTCTTCCCTGAAAACTATCCTTTTTGCCATTTTCTGCACATTGCTTGACTAGGACACGTTTATATAATGAAAAGTTGAAAATTTTGACTTAAATTTACATTGATCGGAAAGCCCCTTTCCCATGAGTGTCTCACACTCAAAAATTTCTGGCTACATCTCTGATAAAGCTGTTGCCATACTCTTGACAATATTTATGGCAATAGCTTTATAAGATTTCATACCCAGAAATAAATATCTGATAAATAAAATTTAATGTTAACGTAAGCATTATGCAATATCAATGTTAACTTAATACAGAATTTTTTCGCTTTTTATGCTGTCAGTGTTTTTCTACCAACGTCCCACCAATTTTCCCATTCTAAAGGTTGGCAAGTAGGTTACCAACCAAATTGTCTTAAGCATTTTTCTTTTTCTGTATATACAGATTTATATTGTAAACTATTAGTCTATAAGTATTTTATTAAATTCCGAAAACGAAACCAAAAACTTTGGAGTGATATAATAACTCATTATAATATTTTCCATTTTAAATATTGGAAAATCTGCGAGCCTGTTTGGATTTTGAGAAACGGACTAAGCAAGAGATGCTGTATGAGTAAAACTGATTAAACAATGTGAAAGTTAGTACTGTACTGAGATGTTTAATCTTCACTGATGTTAGGATGTGGAGTTTTTGTTGTTTATGTTTTCGAAAAATTTTAATGTAATTTATTTAATCAATTTTGTACTAATTATAAAATACTAGTAGTTTTTAATGGCTCAAATTAGAAATTTTCCTTAAAATTATTTGTTTTACGTCCAATATTGTAATAAATCTTAACAGCTACCTGAGAGCTTTCCAATTGAAGACTGTGGTGTGATAAGTCCTAAAAATTTTTGCAAATTACATATAGCTGTTAATATTTAATAGAAATTTTCCATTAAAACATATTAAAATCGTCGTCATTGCAATACAATAGTTATGTAAAGAAAAATTTTAAAGATTAATAGCACAGTAGACTCCCGACTAGGGTTTCTCATTTCCCGGGATCCCGAGATAAAAGTGAACTGTTTCCCGGGATCCCGGGATAGAATGAATTATTTTTAAGGTATACAAAATATCTTGAAATCAAATGATATAATTATTTTCTATTTTTAAAAGTAATTTTAAAGTTCTGTAACCTCCAAAATCATATTAATAATGCTGTGTAAGGTCTATAGGCCTATAATAAAAATTACCTTTAAATAACGTAGAAATTTTCACAAATAGAAAAAAATTAATTAAAGTTTGCTGGAAACTGCATACAACAACAACAAAAANGTGGAGCACGTTCTCGTAGAGAACGGCCACCTTGTATAGTAAAGAAGACGCTAAATCGTGTAGCGTGGCGGATAAATGAAGCTACGTGCTGTTTATAATCACACCTTTTAAAAACACGTATTACAGGATTTTAACATTGAGTTACACAATGATACCAATCCCTATTCTCCAAATGACAGATCTATTACATCCGACCATCTCGCATACGGCGACAAGTGTCTAATATTTATGTGCAATTAACCACAATATATACACTATGTTTATATAGCGGACGAGTCGGTTTTAAACTCTAGAATGTGCACGGAACCTGCGTGACACGCTACGTACCAAAAGCCACGAACCAACAGCGACGACACATATGCAGAAAAAATGCCTGTACATGTTTGTTTTTTTTCTTTCTTTTTTTTGTATTTTTTTTAAATATGCTGATATGCACTTTTGGATACTTCTACTACCCGTCTTTCGATTGGTCGATCAAAATAGTGTAAAATGTAAAGTTCTCGGGAATTAGACCAAATTTTTTTTAAAGCCGATACATTAATGATTACGTTTTTCTATACCCCGTACACAAGCGGCTTTGTTCGAATCGCTATACTTGTTCTAATGAACGACAGATACATCCGAATGATTTTCGATCTGACGAGGTCGACTGATTTCAGACACTTCCGGTTCGGCTGCCTCCTTTAACATGGATTTATACTCATCTTCCGAAAGAGGAAAAGTGCGCAAATCGTAGGGTTTGGCTATTTCGGCGCTTTCTATGGGTAGAAAAGGTGACTGATCGATAGTATCGCTAGTTTCCTCCTCTAGCAGACTGTCTTTAGTCTCTTCCTCCGGCGACATATCGCTGGAGCTAACAGTGGAGAACACATCTGGTGAGTAAGGAGTAGAGAGTAGGTTATCACATCCCGAAAATAGATCTTGGTCGCTGTTCAGAGGCTGAGGAGAGTTGGGGACTACGTCAAAGCGCAAGCTGCGAGATCGTCCTCGCCCGTAAGTTCGTACTCTGATGTAACTGGTGAACCACTTTTTCTCTTTGATTTCACATTTTTGGTGCCGAACCGAAAACGCTTCATCGGAAAGATCTTCAATCTGAGTGTTTATAAAGAAAAGCAGAAACTTATTAATTTAATATTAATGTTATAACTATAATTTATAACATAAGACTATTCATGAATTTTATGCATTATTAGACAATTTCTTAGATATTTTAACTATTTCTTATTGTTCTTATTCATTGAAATCTTATCAAGAAGTTCATCGACTTTAAAATATTACATTCGCAACAAACATTTCTATTTAAATTTTCATGAAAATTTGTAAGTCAGTGCAAATCTTATTTAAATAAGCGAAAAATTATTGTAAAATAAATAAAATAAAATAATAAATATATTTTGCATCGTTAATGTCTATCATAAAGTGTTAAGCATCACGAATTTATGTAGCCTAAATTATTTTTGTTATTTCTAATTAGAGATTTGAAATAAATAAATGTTTATAGATGTGAAATCCAATTATCAAAAAGAATTAGTAAATATTGAATCCTATTTCAGCATTTTAAAAAGTGGAATACACTAAAGAAAACAAATATAAACATGCCTAGTTTTTTATAACGATCTGTACATAACATGAAACTTTTTCACTTACGTTTTCTTTTGAATTGTTAGATGATGAGGTATTATCTTTCTTATCCTCCATGACGCGCCACCTACAGAAAAAATTATTTATTTATAAACTAAGATTAATATTAAAAAAGTGCTATAGGGCTATTTTAAACTCCTTAAAAAAATAAAATTTGTTATGCATAAGAAAGAAAATTTTAATACAAAAAGTCAGTTGTTTGAAACAAAGAAAAATAAATTTTTCTTTCAACTCTGCTAATCCCCAGCTTGTTGTCATTAAAGTTAAAAAAAAACCGCTTCACTTTGCATTTCTAACGATGTCAATGCCTATCTAATGAACTATGCACTGTGAAGCATTTGATGCATTAGAAGGCTGCGACTTAGTACAAATAGAAAAGCACCATTTATGTAAAAACATAAAATCCAACACTAGTGTTGTAACGCGATAGTTCAACAGCACACCAATCGCCATCGATCGTTATTATATAAAACTAAGGAATCAAGAAAGAGTTAATGACAAAGATCTCACGACAATTATTATAAACTGGATCAGTGTGATAGAGTTTTATATTGCTTCTGGATTTGTGTACGTGTGTACAAATGGGAAAATAAAGCACTCTATTATATTAATGACTGAATTTATTGCATTTGCAAGCAAAGAAAATTGGATTGAATTCAGTATTTTCGGAATCTCGAAGTATTTGTAAAGTATTGAGTTTCTTTATAAAAAATGTAAATTCTTTGACATGCTATTTTTAATGAACTCTAATAAAGCTATCTCGTAAAAAAACTTTTGAATATCAAAAATTATAGCCCACAATTGAGAAGTTGTACGGAAAGAGGTAACTAAGTTAAATTTTGATGTTTTCAACAGAGGTGCAGAATATTTTCAGGACCCAAAATTTCCCCGAAAATTATTGTATACAAAATAAAGCAACTTTTTTAATTCGTTCATATCATTACGGCGTAGTTTTGAAAATTCAAATTAAATCATACAAATAATTAAATAGACCTACAGTATAACTTGCTAGCGCAATACTAAACTTTTATTTTAAAAGTTTGTGTTAGTTTGTGTGCAATAATGACGCGTATTTAAATTGTTCTTTTAATTTATAAAAGAACAATTTAAATACACCTATCACTGCAGGATTGGATTTGCATATACAATTATAAACTTGATGTAATACGTTAATTAACGGAAATAAAATTGAAGTCGTTGCCAACACCAAATGTCCTGCTTTTAGCAGGAAGTGCTAATTAACAGATTTTTTGATGTTCAAAAATAAAATTATTTACCATGACGACGTCATGTATTTTTTTCTGAAAAATTAAGAAATGCATCAATTCTCTTCAAAAAATGGAGTTTTTAATTGACTTCATTATTTATTTATTTGAAAAACGCGACCATATTTTTATGAAGCTTAAATGGTAACGTCAAAATATATTTTAATTTTATAATAAATCTACGAAAAAATATGAAAATTGGGGAAAATAATGTTTATAAAATGATGATAAAACGTCTATTTAGTTATCAGACAATTCATAAAAAGTTTTTAAATGCATTTTATTAATTTGCAAACTTCCTGTAGGGAAACAGGTGAATATTTCGTTTTAATTAAAAGTGACAAAATTTCACCCATTAAAATAGTGTCGAAAGAATTCCAAATACAATAATTACTAAAATAACATCGTCATAATGTTAGACTCAATTTTTAATCATATTTTCAATTTATTAATTTAAAATATATGCTCTCCACCTCAAATTAGTAGTGGCTTACCCCTGTACATCATTAACAATAGAGTAATGCCAGCCATTTATCTAACTGCTTTCAGGAGAAAAGTTTTGAATTGAAATAACATGACTTCTGGTTTGTACCGGAAGTTCGTATATAATCAGGTCCTCCTGCCCTTAAGGCTTCCATATATGGTCTTGTCTATTGTTAAAGGAAAAGTATGATATACAGGGGCAAGTCACTACTAATTTGAGGTGAAGAGCATATATTTTAAATTAAATAAATTAAAAATATGATTAAAAATTGCAGCCCAGCATTGTGACAATGTCACAATAAATAATTACTTGTTGTAAGCAATTTCCTACAAGAAACAATAATTGCAATAATTCCAATTTCAAACAAAAACCTAATGATATGTTCTAAAGAATCACATCATTTTGATTATATATTTTACTACCAATCAAATTCTGATTGTCAAAAAGTTTTAAAGATTAATATAAAAACTTAAGTTTTCTTTAAAAGAACTGCACTATCTAATTTATTTTATATATTATATTAAATTTACAGATTAATGAAATTCCTTATAAGTTTATTCTACCCATATTTACCAAATAATTTCTTTAAAGATGTTAACTGTCTGTTAAAAGTATTTTCCAATAATTGGAAATTTACAAGTAGTGTATTTGTTAATTGTAATATATATTAGAGCATACCTTACTTTAAAACTGATTAATATACATAAAATTATCAAATTACTCAAGAAGTTTTGATATGTATTTGTAATCACATTCAATTTTAAATACATACTTGGGTGTTAATATTTCTTTATACTGAAGTTTCTCCACCCTTATGGCTGGTACTATACAACAAGGAATGACAATATTATTAATATCAAAGGCGCTCTCTCGGCGTCTACGTCCAGTGAAGTTTGGTACAACTGAAAAATTTTTATAATGTATGTAAATATTTTTGATAAAATATACCCAAAGATTAATAACCACATAATTTCTGAACACATAAATTTTAAAAAAACGTTAATTTTTTTATTGTAACATTAAAATCTAAGTACAGTAAGACCCCACTTAATGTTAATTCGATATAATGCGGTCTGCTCAAAGCCTAAAAAAGCTCAAAATTTACGCCGATTCAACTTATCGTGGCATTTCATTGATTATTCCCAAACATGAACCAATCAGCAAAAGGTGGCAATTTATTGTAGCGCTGTACTTTCCTTATAACATTATGGATGACATAGGCAATGTCGACTTTTTTTGGCAAGAATTAACTGATAAATGCATGAATGAAGTGTGGAAGAAGTTATGGCTGAAGGTATCCAAGAATTCTCAATGAGAAGAGCCTAATCAATACAGAAGGACTAGGAAATGTAGATGAACAGGATATTGAGAAGTTACTGCAGGTTTCTGGTGACAGTCTTATCTATGACAACCTTCAAGAACTGGCAGAACAAGGAATTCATGTAGAATTGGAAAACAGAGATTCTGAAAACAAAGAATCCAAAAAATTTCTCTACTGATTTCTTTAGTAAAACTTTGGTAACGATAACTGAAATAGTTGATCAAATTGTAGTAAATGATCCATGATCCATTTTGACAGGAGTGCAATAACGAAATGAGGCATTTTGGATGCAATCTTTTGCTACTGACATTTGCTTTAGGAAAGTAAAAAAGCGACAAATGAAACTAAGCAACTACATTGCAAAAAACACAAATTTCAGAAAAGCCAGGCCTTTCATCACAAAAAATGAACTGTAAATTTCTGTGTGCATATGTTTATGTGTTATTTAACATATATTATTATGCAAATTAATATAAAAATAAAAATAATATTAATTTAAAATTAAAATTTGTTTATTTTTGGTTGCGTGTTCCCCTTTTTCTATTTACTCTATGTTAAAATGACCTCATTTAACGCTGTTTCATTTAGCACTTTGTCATTTAGGAATGCATCCCTGTGTTAAGCGGGGTCTTACTGTACTTTCACTTTAATTTTAGGCTTTCTAAGCTAAAAAAAAAAACAAATATATATATTGTCAATATTGGAAATATCTGTAAAATTGCATATTATTTTCAATGTGTATCATAAAATGATTATTTCACTCAGTTATTTTATGAATATGAATATTTGGAAATACAGTCACAAACACAAACACAGTATTTGTGTTTGTGACTGTATTTCCAAATATTCATATTCATAAATTCTTAAAGAGAACAATTTTTTAAATACTTAAAATTTCAAATCAAATAATGTGAAATTTATTACATATACAACAATACAATATAATATGCATACAGAAACAACTTAAATTAATCAATAAAAATTAGTGACAAAAGAACAGATATAGTAAATAAATAAAAGTTAAATATAGAAATTTTTCTCTGCACTTCATAATAAAATACTGTATATTTTTATTTCTGTAACAGAACAGATTTTATATTTTGATGACCTGTTAAAGAAATAATTAAATAAGCTATATTTATGACTTTAACTAATAACCATTTATACTTGCCAAAATAAAATGTATTCAAAAGAATAAATATAATTGGAATATTTATATTAGTGTTCTATATTTACAAAAATAAATAATTTGTAAAAAAAAAAATCTGTATTCTGATAAAAATATTTTGAAGATATCTAGAAATATTTGAGAATAAACTGATACTGATAGTTACTGTATGTCTGATCTTTAACTCCTTTATCTTAAACTGAATCTTCTCTGTTTCAAATTATAAAAGTTTTAATAAGTTATCTAGATCCATAAATATCTGGAAAGTATTTCTTTATCAAAACTCATTTGAAATACATGGATATGTAATATTAATTTAATTTAAGAATAAACTTTTTCCTTCAGAAAAATTATTTCCAAATGGAGGCCTCTTTTGAAATCAAATAATTCATCTATTAGCTGCCAGATGCTATCTCTGCTTTTTGTGAAAAGGAACAGATGCTTCACTTACAAATACAAATGTTTATATTTCAGAAATTTTTGATATGTGATATGTATTAAATAATATATGATTATTTCCAAATCATTTACTTAACTGGTATATAAAATAAGAAATCTTGCAAGTTAACAAATAATAGTTACTGAAAGCAATTAATTCATTTAATTTTAACTATAATTTATTTTCATCTGATTTATATATTGCATTCAGAACTTCTGTAAGGATAAATTTAATATAATTAACAATAACACAATTTGAAAATTTTTAAACTTGTGTTGTAAAAATTCATCATTTAAAAGATGTAAAGAATATATTGGACCAATACATACATTTTATATTTTGTTTGAATCTTTGAAATGAGATCTGAATTTGTTTGATAATGAAAACATTGACAAAACTTGAGAAAACAATAACTATTCAATGGTTGTACTAATTATAATAAAAACTTTACATTAATTCACACAAATTTAATTTTTAAAATTACTTTAAGTTTTAATACAACTCAAAATAAATATTACAACAAACAAAACTTGTTAACACGATATTATATAGAAATGTAGAAAAGTAAATTTTTTAAGATGAATAATTTTCAATTCTGCATTGTAGAAATACAATAAAATAACTGCATAAAACTATTTATATTTTTAATATTAAAAGTAATTAATTATACCATAAACAAAAATATTTTCTAATATAAAAAATTTGAAATCCAGATTTATAAATAGTAATAAAGTATGATTATAAAAATATATAATCCATTTATATTTAATTATTTCCTTTATGCTAAATACTGATGTTATTCAAATGATAACCTTTACAGGAATTCTGAAAACAGGGAAATAATGTAAAATTAATAAGTACCATAAAGTACTATAGGTAGGTGCCATATTTATTTATTTAAGAAACAAACTTTAATAGAAAATGAAATTAGTCATTACAAAGAAAAATACCAGTTGCCATTTCAAGTATACTTTGTTTTAAAAATTAAAACTTTTATAAATAAATATTTAACTACTTTATTAATAAATGAACACAAACAGATATGTGCAAAAGAAATAATAGCCACCCTTGAATAGTAAATACAGAGAAAAATATGCAATTTAAAATAGTAGTCATGGCTATTATTCAAATATAACCAGTACTAATATTGAACAGAACTATTTATTATATTCATTTGAAATTTTAAAAAATTTAAATTTTAATCATTACATACCATCTTGAGTAAAAGAGTAAAGATTTGGTGAACATGGTCTTGAATTATTTGGAGAAGAGTTTAAACTCTGATTTTGATCTTTTTGTTTTTNTTGTAAGATCATATTATTTTTTTAAATTAAACGTTGACTAATGACTTCATATTAATATTTTTGCTCTTTTTAAAGGCTAAAACAATGTAAACAGATCGTTATACGAGACATGGTAACATGCCAAATTTATTAAAAATTATCTCTGAATTGTTCTATTAAAAACTTTAGCATTAAAATTTATAGAATTTCATATATATAAAATATGGAAATGTAATGTAAAAAATTCTAGAATGATGAAAAAAATTATTGCGTGAAAGTTCACCAAGTGATGATAATAGTTGCAGCAATTGCAATTTTTCTGTCGTTTTGTTTGGCATATTAAAGGGCTTTCCACATTATACTACATGAATCGCGAGTATCAAGAACTTTTATCTGTAGTTAGAAAAAGTTGCTGTGTTTTAATGTTTGTTTAACTTAAGAGAAACAGAAAATAAAAAGTTTTCATACTATAATCTTTCTTTTAATAAAGTTGGCATTGTCAAACTTTGCGCTTTTTTAAACCAACAAGGAAATTGTTCCAAATGTAAAAATATCATTTTAAAAACATTCTAACAAACAACAAAAAACTTAAAAAGTATTATTACAAATGAACAAAACATCGTACAAAAAAATCTCTTGTTTTTGTAAACGAAATACTGTAATACTTTTTCGATAATTTAAGAACATTCCAAATGGATTTTTTTTTCCTTTCAAACTTTTCTTTCTGCTTTAACATTAAAACAAACTTCTTTTGGACAATTACCAGAAATTCTTTAATTACACTGTATGGAAATTTTACAAGCATGGATAGGATGTACCAAGATTTGTCGTTTACGGAACATTACGGTAAATACGTCGGCCGCTGTTTGGAACTACAGACTAGAAACTGCGAAGGTTAGAGGAACGAGTCGACGACCAATTAACTCTTAAGGGATCGGCCATTTTTTTTAAAATACAAACACAGATATATTTAAGTGGAGCACGTTCTCGTAGAGAACGGCCACCTTGTATAGTAAAGAAGACGCTAAATCGTGTAGCGTGGCGGATAAATGAAGCTACGTGCTGTTTATAATCACACCTTTTAAAAACACGTATTACAGGATTTTAACATTGAGTTACACAATGATACCAATCCCTATTCTCCAAATGACAGATCTATTACATCCGACCATCTCGCATACGGCGACAAGTGTCTAATATTTATGTGCAATTAACCACAATATATACACTATGTTTATATAGCGGACGAGTCGGTTTTAAACTCTAGAATGTGCACGGAACCTGCGTGACACGCTACGTACCAAAAGCCACGAACCAACAGCGACGACACATATGCAGAAAAAATGCCTGTACATGTTTGTTTTTTTTCTTTCTTTTTTTTGTATTTTTTTTAAATATGCTGATATGCACTTTTGGATACTTCTACTACCCGTCTTTCGATTGGTCGATCAAAATAGTGTAAAATGTAAAGTTCTCGGGAATTAGACCAAATTTTTTTTAAAGCCGATACATTAATGATTACGTTTTTCTATACCCCGTACACAAGCGGCTTTGTTCGAATCGCTATACTTGTTCTAATGAACGACAGATACATCCGAATGATTTTCGATCTGACGAGGTCGACTGATTTCAGACACTTCCGGTTCGGCTGCCTCCTTTAACATGGATTTATACTCATCTTCCGAAAGAGGAAAAGTGCGCAAATCGTAGGGTTTGGCTATTTCGGCGCTTTCTATGGGTAGAAAAGGTGACTGATCGATAGTATCGCTAGTTTCCTCCTCTAGCAGACTGTCTTTAGTCTCTTCCTCCGGCGACATATCGCTGGAGCTAACAGTGGAGAACACATCTGGTGAGTAAGGAGTAGAGAGTAGGTTATCACATCCCGAAAATAGATCTTGGTCGCTGTTCAGAGGCTGAGGAGAGTTGGGGACTACGTCAAAGCGCAAGCTGCGAGATCGTCCTCGCCCGTAAGTTCGTACTCTGATGTAACTGGTGAACCACTTTTTCTCTTTGATTTCACATTTTTGGTGCCGAACCGAAAACGCTTCATCGGAAAGATCTTCAATCAAGTAAACATGTATGGTGCATAATGACTGTACAGGAAATGCTTTATCTTCAATCTCTGTTATCCAGCCTTCTACCATATTAAGCCGAATAATCGCGAGTCTACTGTATTATGTAAATTTCAATAATTTTACTTTAAATAAATATACTTTTCAATCTCAGTTTTCTGTTTTCTGGAATAATCGTTTGTTCTATGTTCTCTGTTATTATTTAAATAAGTTGTTGATTATTCCTCTAATTCAACATTAATAACAAGTTTAATATATATTTAATTATTATTACTTCATTATCCAGATATCGGATACACACCCATAATTGGAAAGGGAATAATATAAAGGTAATTTATTTAATCAATTTTGTACTAATTATAAAATACTAGTAGTTTTTAATGGCTCAAATTAGAAATTTTCCTTAAAATTATTTGTTTTACGTCCAATATTGTAATAAATCTTAACAGCTACCTGAGAGCTTTCCAATTGAAGACTGTGGTGTGATANCGATTCAACTTATCGTGGCATTTCATTGATTATTCCCAAACATGAACCAATCAGCAAAAGGTGGCAATTTATTGTAGCGCTGTACTTTCCTTATAAAGTGTTAAGCATCACGAATTTATGTAGCCTAAATTATTTTTGTTATTTCTAATTAGAGATTTGAAATAAATAAATGTTTATAGATGTGAAATCCAATTATCAAAAAGAATTAGTAAATATTGAATCCTATTTCAGCATTTTAAAAAGTGGAATACACTAAAGAAAACAAATATAAACATGCCTAGTTTTTTATAACGATCTGTACATAACATGAAACTTTTTCACTTACGTTTTCTTTTGAATTGTTAGATGATGAGGTATTATCTTTCTTATCCTCCATGACGCGCCACCTACAGAAAAAATTATTTATTTATAAACTAAGATTAATATTAAAAAAGTGCTATAGGGCTATTTTAAACTCCTTAAAAAAATAAAATTTGTTATGCATAAGAAAGAAAATTTTAATACAAAAAGTCAGTTGTTTGAAACAAAGAAAAATAAATTTTTCTTTCAACTCTGCTAATCCCCAGCTTGTTGTCATTAAAGTTAAAAAAAAACCGCTTCACTTTGCATTTCTAACGATGTCAATGCCTATCTAATGAACTATGCACTGTGAAGCATTTGATGCATTAGAAGGCTGCGACTTAGTACAAATAGAAAAGCACCATTTATGTAAAAACATAAAATCCAACACTAGTGTTGTAACGCGATAGTTCAACAGCACACCAATCGCCATCGATCGTTATTATATAAAACTAAGGAATCAAGAAAGAGTTAATGACAAAGATCTCACGACAATTATTATAAACTGGATCAGTGTGATAGAGTTTTATATTGCTTCTGGATTTGTGTACGTGTGTACAAATGGGAAAATAAAGCACTCTATTATATTAATGACTGAATTTATTGCATTTGCAAGCAAAGAAAATTGGATTGAATTCAGTATTTTCGGAATCTCGAAGTATTTGTAAAGTATTGAGTTTCTTTATAAAAAATGTAAATTCTTTGACATGCTATTTTTAATGAACTCTAATAAAGCTATCTCGTAAAAAAACTTTTGAATATCAAAAATTATAGCCCACAATTGAGAAGTTGTACGGAAAGAGGTAACTAAGTTAAATTTTGATGTTTTCAACAGAGGTGCAGAATATTTTCAGGACCCAAAATTTCCCCGAAAATTATTGTATACAAAATAAAGCAACTTTTTTAATTCGTTCATATCATTACGGCGTAGTTTTGAAAATTCAAATTAAATCATACAAATAATTAAATAGACCTACAGTATAACTTGCTAGCGCAATACTAAACTTTTATTTTAAAAGTTTGTGTTAGTTTGTGTGCAATAATGACGCGTATTTAAATTGTTCTTTTAATTTATAAAAGAACAATTTAAATACACCTATCACTGCAGGATTGGATTAGCATATACAATTATAAACTTGATGTAATACGTTAATTAACGGAAATAAAATTGAAGTCGTTGCCAACACCAAATGTCCTGCTTTTAGCAGGAAGTGCTAATTAACAGATTTTTTGATGTTCAAAAATAAAATTATTTACCATGACGACGTCATGTATTTTTTTCTGAAAAATTAAGAAATGCATCAATTCTCTTCAAAAAATGGAGTTTTTAATTGACTTCATTATTTATTTATTTGAAAAACGCGACCATATTTTTATGAAGCTTAAATGGTAACGTCAAAATATATTTTAATTTTATAATAAATCTACGAAAAAATATGAAAATTGGGGAAAATAATGTTTATAAAATGATGATAAAACGTCTATTTAGTTATCAGACAATTCATAAAAAGTTTTTAAATGCATTTTATTAATTTGCAAACTTCCTGTAGGGAAACAGGTGAATATTTCGTTTTAATTAAAAGTGACAAAATTTCACCCATTAAAATAGTGTCGAAAGAATTCCAAATACAATAATTACTAAAATAACATCGTCATAATGCTAGACTCAATTTTTAATCATATTTTCAATTTATTAATTTAAAATATATGCTCTCCACCTCAAATTAGTAGTGGCTTACCCCTGTACATCATTAACAATAGAGTAATGCCAGCCATTTATCTAACTGCTTTCAGGAGAAAAGTTTTGAATTGAAATAACATGACTTCTGGTTTGTACCGGAAGTTCGTATATAATCAGGTCCTCCTGCCCTTAAGGCTTCCATATATGGTCTTGTCTATTGTTAAAGGAAAAGTATGATATACAGGGGCAAGTCACTACTAATTTGAGGTGAAGAGCATATATTTTAAATTAAATAAATTAAAAATATGATTAAAAATTGCAGCCCAGCATTGTGACAATGTCACAATAAATAATTACTTGTTGTAAGCAATTTCCTACAAGAAACAATAATTGCAATAATTCCAATTTCAAACAAAAACCTAATGATATGTTCTAAAGAATCTCATCATTTTGATTATATATTTTACTACCAATCAAATTCTGATTGTCAAAAAGTTTTAAAGATTAATATAAAAACTTAAGTTTTCTTTAAAAGAACTGCACTATCTAATTTATTTTATATATTATATTAAATTTACAGATTAATGAAATTCCTTATAAGTTTATTCTACCCATATTTACCAAATAATTTCTTTAAAGATGTTAACTGTCTGTTAAAAGTATTTTCCAATAATTGGAAATTTACAAGTAGTGTATTTGTTAATTGTAATATATATTAGAGCATACCTTACTTTAAAACTGATTAATATACATAAAATTATCAAATTACTCAAGAAGTTTTGATATGTATTTGTAATCACATTCAATTTTAAATACATACTTGGGTGTTAATATTTCTTTATACTGAAGTTTCTCCACCCTTATGGCTGGTACTATACAACAAGGAATGACAATATTATTAATATCAAAGGCGCTCTCTCGGCGTCTACGTCCAGTGAAGTTTGGTACAACTGAAAAATTTTTATAATGTATGTAAATATTTTTGATAAAATATACCCAAAGATTAATAACCACATAATTTCTGAACACATAAATTTTAAAAAAACGTTAATTTTTTTATTGTAACATTAAAATCTAAGTACAGTAAGACCCCACTTAATGTTAATTCGATATAATGCGGTCTGCTCAAAGCCTAAAAAAGCTCAAAATTTACGCCGATTCAACTTATCGTGGCATTTCATTGATTATTCCCAAACATGAACCAATCAGCAAAAGGTGGCAATTTATTGTAGCGCTGTACTTTCCTTATAACATTATGGATGACATAGGCAATGTCGACTTTTTTTGGCAAGAATTAACTGATAAATGCATGAATGAAGTGTGGAAGAAGTTATGGCTGAAGGTATCCAAGAATTCTCAATGAGAAGAGCCTAATCAATACAGAAGGACTAGGAAATGTAGATGAACAGGATATTGAGAAGTTACTGCAGGTTTCTGGTGACAGTCTTATCTATGACAACCTTCAAGAACTGGCAGAACAAGGAATTCATGTAGAATTGGAAAACAGAGATTCTGAAAACAAAGAATCCAAAAAATTTCTCTACTGATTTCTTTAGTAAAACTTTGGTAACGATAACTGAAATAGTTGATCAAATTGTAGTAAATGATCCATGATCCATTTTGACAGGAGTGCAATAACGAAATGAGGCATTTTGGATGCAATCTTTTGCTACTGACATTTGCTTTAGGAAAGTAAAAAAGCGACAAATGAAACTAAGCAACTACATTGCAAAAAACACAAATTTCAGAAAAGCCAGGCCTTTCATCACAAAAAATGAACTGTAAATTTCTGTGTGCATATGTTTATGTGTTATTTAACATATATTATTATGCAAATTAATATAAAAATAAAAATAATATTAATTTAAAATTAAAATTTGTTTATTTTTGGTTGCGTGTTCCCCTTTTTCTATTTACTCTATGTTAAAATGACCTCATTTAACGCTGTTTCATTTAGCACTTTGTCATTTAGGAATGCATCCCTGTGTTAAGCGGGGTCTTACTGTACTTTCACTTTAATTTTAGGCTTTCTAAGCTAAAAAAAAAAACAAATATATATATTGTCAATATTGGAAATATCTGTAAAATTGCATATTATTTTCAATGTGTATCATAAAATGATTATTTCACTCAGTTATTTTATGAATATGAATATTTGGAAATACAGTCACAAACACAAACACAGTATTTGTGTTTGTGACTGTATTTCCAAATATTCATATTCATAAATTCTTAAAGAGAACAATTTTTTAAATACTTAAAATTTCAAATCAAATAATGTGAAATTTATTACATATACAACAATACAATATAATATGCATACAGAAACAACTTAAATTAATCAATAAAAATTAGTGACAAAAGAACAGATATAGTAAATAAATAAAAGTTAAATATAGAAATTTTTCTCTGCACTTCATAATAAAATACTGTATATTTTTATTTCTGTAACAGAACAGATTTTATATTTTGATGACCTGTTAAAGAAATAATTAAATAAGCTATATTTATGACTTTAACTAATAACCATTTATACTTGCCAAAATAAAATGTATTCAAAAGAATAAATATAATTGGAATATTTATATTAGTGTTCTATATTTACAAAAATAAATAATTTGTAAAAAAAAAAATCTGTATTCTGATAAAAATATTTTGAAGATATCTAGAAATATTTGAGAATAAACTGATACTGATAGTTACTGTATGTCTGATCTTTAACTCCTTTATCTTAAACTGAATCTTCTCTGTTTCAAATTATAAAAGTTTTAATAAGTTATCTAGATCCATAAATATCTGGAAAGTATTTCTTTATCAAAACTCATTTGAAATACATGGATATGTAATATTAATTTAATTTAAGAATAAACTTTTTCCTTCAGAAAAATTATTTCCAAATGGAGGCCTCTTTTGAAATCAAATAATTCATCTATTAGCTGCCAGATGCTATCTCTGCTTTTTGTGAAAAGGAACAGATGCTTCACTTACAAATACAAATGTTTATATTTCAGAAATTTTTGATATGTGATATGTATTAAATAATATATGATTATTTCCAAATCATTTACTTAACTGGTATATAAAATAAGAAATCTTGCAAGTTAACAAATAATAGTTACTGAAAGCAATTAATTCATTTAATTTTAACTATAATTTATTTTCATCTGATTTATATATTGCATTCAGAACTTCTGTAAGGATAAATTTAATATAATTAACAATAACACAATTTGAAAATTTTTAAACTTGTGTTGTAAAAATTCATCATTTAAAAGATGTAAAGAATATATTGGACCAATACATACATTTTATATTTTGTTTGAATCTTTGAAATGAGATCTGAATTTGTTTGATAATGAAAACATTGACAAAACTTGAGAAAACAATAACTATTCAATGGTTGTACTAATTATAATAAAAACTTTACATTAATTCACACAAATTTAATTTTTAAAATTACTTTAAGTTTTAATACAACTCAAAATAAATATTACAACAAACAAAACTTGTTAACACGATATTATATAGAAATGTAGAAAAGTAAATTTTTTAAGATGAATAATTTTCAATTCTGCATTGTAGAAATACAATAAAATAACTGCATAAAACTATTTATATTTTTAATATTAAAAGTAATTAATTATACCATAAACAAAAATATTTTCTAATATAAAAAATTTGAAATCCAGATTTATAAATAGTAATAAAGTATGATTATAAAAATATATAATCCATTTATATTTAATTATTTCCTTTATGCTAAATACTGATGTTATTCAAATGATAACCTTTACAGGAATTCTGAAAACAGGGAAATAATGTAAAATTAATAAGTACCATAAAGTACTATAGGTAGGTGCCATATTTATTTATTTAAGAAACAAACTTTAATAGAAAATGAAATTAGTCATTACAAAGAAAAATACCAGTTGCCATTTCAAGTATACTTTGTTTTAAAAATTAAAACTTTTATAAATAAATATTTAACTACTTTATTAATAAATGAACACAAACAGATATGTGCAAAAGAAATAATAGCCACCCTTGAATAGTAAATACAGAGAAAAATATGCAATTTAAAATAGTAGTCATGGCTATTATTCAAATATAACCAGTACTAATATTGAACAGAACTATTTATTATATTCATTTGAAATTTTAAAAAATTTAAATTTTAATCATTACATACCATCTTGAGTAAAAGAGTAAAGATTTGGTGAACATGGTCTTGAATTATTTGGAGAAGAGTTTAAACTCTGATTTTGATCTTTTTGTTTTTTAGCTGAACCTTAAAATTTTAAAACAAAAATTAAAATTCTGCACAAATCAAATTTAATAAATGTATACAATAGACTCAAATACATAACAAAAACATACACCGAATAAATGGGATTTATATAAATTGTCACATTAATAACAACAAAAACAAAAAATACAGTCTCAAACTAGTATTTATGATTATTAGTCTGTTCTATATCTGTAAAAATATAAAAATTTGAAAAATATTTTCTGATACTTGCTACTCAGAAAATTCACCAGTTTATTTTAGTATACATTCTAATCATCAAAAGTTCTTAAAGCAAAGCAAAGCCTTTTTAATTTTTGTTGTTGTCTTTTCTATGTAATTATTAATATAAAGTTGATGTAGCCTCCAAGGAAATGTCAAAGCTACCATTTGAATAAGCAGAATTCTTGATTAAAATTTTTAAACATTGATGCTAAATTATTTACATTATTTTAAAATCACTTTAGATATAAGTACAATCAGAATATTACATTCTAGTAATGAACATGTAGCTACATGTACTTTTAAAAAGTATGAAAAATAGTATTTGCATTTTTACTTAAAAAAAATAAAGTTTTACTTTAGTATACAGTGGTACCTCAGGATACAAAATTAATCCGTTCCAAAACTGAGATCATATCATGAAAATGTCGTAAGGTGAATCATTTTTCCCCATACTATCACATGTAAAACTAAATAATTCGTTCCAACACGAAAAACACACTCAAATTAAAGCTAAGTAGTGCATTGAAAAAAAATAATTATAGTAAGGAAAACACCAAAAAATGCGTTTTGTATTTGTAAATGTATAAATAACCATAATAGTATAATAATTGATTAAAAAAATGTAGTTTTATTTGCACTTTAACTTTTAACTTTGAGGATAGACTACAGTGGAGGTGTAAACTGGTGGCGGAAGAGAGGGAGAAGGGATGACTACAAAAACTTAACTTACATAATATAATGTAACAATAACTTAAAAATAACTTAGAAAAGATAAAAAGAATTAGTGTTATTTTATATAGATTTTTTAAATTTTTATTCACTGCTTTTTGCTTTCTTTCCTTCACTTCCACCAGCACTTTCACTGGATAGAGGTCGCTTGGTAAAATATCTATCTAAAGAGGTTTGGCTTTGCCTACTTTTTAAAATTTTTCTAAAATAACTTAGGCAAATGTCATTACTCCCAGTAGCAATATGGCTAGTGTGAATCTTTTTGGGATGTTTCTTTTCAATAAAATCAGCCACTTTCTGATAATACCTCAGATTTCCTTTATTGAGCGAGATCCTTCCACGACGAAGCAAACCGAGCAAAATGAAGCGAACTAATGTAACATTGTATGGTGAGTTTTTGTTTGTATCGTGAAGTAAAAATATGTTCGAATTTCATGTCGTATCCTGAAAATTTCGTATGCTGGGGCATTCATATCCTGAGGTACCACTGTATATTGTTATTTTCTGATATATCTAGGATTTTATAAAACTCAATTCTTATTCTTATATTTGTCTTTTCATGTTGGCATATTTTAGTAAATTAAAATGTATTTAAAATGGAGATGGGTAAATATTGCTTTTCTGAAATTTGAATACTAACTAGTTCTTGGCTATTCAAATACTCAGAATACTTAGTGAACTTAATTACCTTATATAACTTTAGGTCAGCAATTTATTTATATTGCACATTTATTATTAATTTGTAATTTATTTTAAGGTATTAATAAATTAATAAAGAAAAACAAAAAATAAAGATTTCCTAAATTTTAAGAAATGAAACTTCAAACTTTTAACTTAGACTTATAAATTATTGCTTTTCTAGGTACTCTTATCTCAATCACAATAGATTAATTAATCAGATAATTGTTTTCATTCTCACTCACTGCAGATTTCTATCTAAGAAAACAAGAATTTGAGAACATTCAAGATCTAGCCTACTGCTTTTCTCACAAATTAGCACCTCTTCAGCACCTCTGGTTTTCTGTACACAGTGGCATTTACAAGAGAATACCATTGAGACAAAATTAAAATCTGTTTTTAAGAACAACATTTGGAAGTTCAAACAAACACTTATGATGGCAAATATGGTTTATCAGATCTTCCACAATACAACTGTCATGTATGTGTTAAAAGATACTTAACAACTTAAAAATTAAAAATATTTAAAATTTTTAAGTTAGCCTCCCCTTTGCTTACTTCTGGATCTGCCTACTGTGAATGTATGTAAGGAGCAATACTGAAGGTATTTGTAGTATTCAAAGTTTTTTTTAATCAACATAATATTTGAGATCTTGAATTGTTTTAGTATATAAGTATTTGCTCACCTCTAACTTAAAATTATTTACCTTCATATATAAACAGCAGTAAACCTGCTTAATATAACCAATAAATAATGGAAAATGTAATATCTTTCAATCAGTATATAAATTTGATAATAGAAAGAGCTCACATTTCAAGAATAATTAGAATAAGTTTCCATATTATTAATAATTGAAATTCTCATGAGATGATGACTTCAGCTACCTCCAATATTTGTTGATAAATTAATTTCAAATTAACTTAGAAATAGACTGTTCGAATCAATTAAACATATGATTCAAACATAACCAACAACAGACTTATCATATAGTAATATATGTTTATTCAACATTAAATTTAACAATATGCAGAAGACTAGTATGCATTTTGACAACAAAAAACAATCTTTGTCCTACAGAGAAAAAGGTATTTCATATATGAATATGTCATATTATATGAACAGACTGTTCCAGTTTTGTGAATGTTAAATTTCAACATTACTAAGTTTCAATTTTGTTAACTTTTGGACTTTACCTATATAAAAAATTATATATAGACAGGATTGATAACCTTATAAATTTTAAGAAAAGCAATATTTCAGTATCATATTTTCTTTAATTTCAACTTTCTTCTTAATTTTTAAACCAATTTTTATTTATGTTTATAGTTTCTAAATGAGGAGATCTGGTACAAAACCTAATATGTCCATCAAGAAAAAATTGACACATTGCTTAGATTTTAATCAAGTTTATGCTCTGGATATGTTACTATTTGCACTGAGCAGTCATATTTTGTAAGAAAATATGAGATCTGTTACTTTTTAGTAAATTATAATTTAATGATGTAAATGTCACTTCCTTTTTGATCACAGATAAATTCTTTACTTCAATTTAAAAAAAAAAAAAAAAGGATATATTACCTTTTGCATCTGAACTCCCAAACTTCATCAGATATTATTCTACAATATAATTGTAGAATGCTATCTGATGAAGGAAGAGTACTTAGTTATATTTTTAAGGCACAATAAAATTTCATTGCATCAAATCATGTGTTGATTCATAATCTTCAGTTAAAAGAAGAAATAAATTTACTTTTTCAGATTTAACATATGATAATGATGATGATAATCATCATTATCATATGTTAATAATGATGTAAATAAAGATTTAACATATGATAATAATGATGATGATAATCATCATCACTATTATCATATGTTAAATCTGAAATCTTAAATCTGATTGCCATATGATAATGATGATGATTATCATCATCATCATCATCATTATCATATGGCAGTACAACACACATAAGACATACAGCTCACTTATAAGACACAGGGTCTGTCTTACAAGTCATCAAATTTAATAATAATAAAGTAATTTATAAAATTTAGTACAGATTTTACAAAATACATAGCATTAGTAAAACATTTATATATTGCAAAAACTTTTATAAAAGAAAATAAAAACAAGTACAGTAAAATTTCTCTTAGTGAACAACTCCCTTAAGTGAACAGTCAGAAAATTCCTCATATAAGTGTATATTTCAATTTTCCCCCAAGTGGTCTCATTTTAATTAACCAGTTGTAATTCCTGATCGTTCCCTATACAATAATAGGTGCTTGGTTAATTTCCTGCTGTCAAATTTTACTCCTGCAAGCTAAGTTAAATAAACAAGCCTTAGCAAGAATGCAGAATTTTCTAGAGATCCTGAGAGATAAAATGCAGATAGTGTTTGTCACATTATAGCAACAGTCAACTTGTTATTTGTACTTAGGAATAAAGTAAGTGCTTTTATCAAATATAAAACAAACCAGAGTCATGACTTGCCAATAAAATGGCAATTTCTTGATTTGTAATAAAAAAATCCTATCATTAGCTTGCTAGCACCGTGAGCCTTGAGTTCTGTGCTGCAGATACAACCTTTTCTCCAGATTTCTGTTTGTCACTATTCTCCAGTTGAATATTCTTAATAGTTTTTAGGTCTTTGTTTGGCCCAACCATCTTTTTTTGGTTACTATCTTTCAGATTAGACTCTTTCCATTGTTTGAATGTAGACAAATCTAGGAACATTCTTCCAACAAAATCCAGAAATCTAATTTGATTGTCTTTAAAATTCCCTGTTATATATGTGACATTGTCCGGTTAATGTACAGGTATCTCTCATATAACACAATAGTTACATTTCAAAAAAGTGCAACATTATGCGAATCTATTCTATATGAAACAAAGAACTAACTCAAAACATAGGGTTACATCATACAAAAGTATACTATTCTTTTTCATTACTAAGAGAAATACGTTTATTAAAGCAATCGATAATTTATTTCCAATCAATAATTAACTAACAATCACAATTAAAAGTACTGTATTACATTAATCATTGAAGACAAGTCTGTCCAAAAGGGGCCACCATTTATTTTGTATTCCAGACTTTACACATACACATCTATGGCGACAGGCCTTCCTTTTTAGGCTTCATGCCGCCAGAGGTAAAAAAAGCCGTTTAAAAACACAAACATCCAATTAAAAGGAATCGGTGATACACAGACATCTTACTTTTCATCCATCTGGCCAATTATGTAATTATGTAATATTAACTGTATTACATGTTAATATTAATTTTATTTAAGCAAGGATGTTTTCTTTTTACAAAGTATCATTGCCATCTCAGCTTTTTTGCTGATCTTGATCAGAAGTATAAGATACATTTTCATATTTTATATTTATCATAAAAAATTTTTTTATGGATGACAAAATAAAAATATGTTATTAATTAAACATTTGTTCTAGCAAGTCACATTTGTTCAATCAAGTACTGAGATACTGCCGTATTTCGTTTGTCATTTTATGAATGATTGCTTACCTACAGTTGAAAAAAATTTAATAACACTTACCTATAAATGTTTATTTAAACTTTACTAGATACGAAGATCAATCTATGAAAAGAAAACACAGTGACAGTCTTAAGGGCTAAGGTCTGAAATCAATAATGACACACGGTTCATAAGACAAGGAAGAAAAAAATTGTACTAACTTTCCTATCTGTTTTCATTAGAGTAAACCTGACAAAAAGCACAAAGTAATTTGAAAATTTCAACATTCTAAAATCCATGGGCAAATTTGAGATAACTTGTGTGTTTACTTGAATAAAAATTTTTAATATTGAAGTTTACACTTAAAAATTGTGAAATTTTCAACAGAGAATTTCCAAAACCATGTTAGAGCAAAACCGAAAGTCATGTTGTACAGGAGATATCCACAATTTTCAAACTGTGTTGTAGAAGTACAGTGTTGTATGAGAGATACTTGTATTTCTGTGAAATGTAAATAACAAACTAAGATGAAAAAACAGTTATAGCATTTTGAAAACACAATTCTGCAAAGCTTTTTGATTCAGTCTAGAACAATAAATGAAAAAATAAATATTCATTCAAAATTTTATATTCAAAAAGTAGGTCAAGTTCGACAGACGTATTTATTAACAAGAGCATATTAACTATAATTAAATTACATGGAAAAAACAGCATTAAGAGAATATACAATTTTGCCTTGTTACAAAGGTCTTTGATAATTAGAATGTAGAATGAAATCATCCAGTGAATGCTCACTGAGTAGCTAGTATCAAGAATCAAAAAATATAATGATTTATAAGATAAAACACAACAACAACCATAACTGTTGTATTGCTTTACCTCTATCCATATAACTAACAATGATTCCTTAATTTAAGAGTTTAATTCTCTGTTTTCTTCTCACTACTACTATTTGTTTTCTATCTTCATTCATTTCTTTTCAAACTTTAATTTTTTACACAATGTTTTTAGATTCAAACACACTATACATAAACCAGTACAAGCTAATTGTAAATTTCATGAGACAAGAATAATTTTTCTACTTATTCTTCTCATTAATTTTAAGCTAAAAAGTCTAAAATTAATCAGAGACACACATAACATTTTTATATCTTTTTCAAACTTTTAAAGCTCATTTTAAGCTCATTTAAAGCTGTTTTTCACCTTATAAACAAGAGAAAGGCTAAAAATATTTCTGTTTTTGATCAATTAGAATATATGGTTAAGAAGTGTCTATCTTGCATTATTTAATAAAAATATTGATATGCATTATGATATATATGATAAAAATAAATAAATTTATCCATATAATCAACTATTTCTACTTCTACCTAACTCAAAAAATTAGATTCTTTCTTAAAAAGTCTAAAATAAAATTGTATATTTTTGTTTGCAATTTGAAATGAAGGTTTATAGAGATAATAGGTNAGATTAATGAAATTCCTTATAAGTTTATTCTACCCATATTTACCAAATAATTTCTTTAAAGATGTTAACTGTCTGTTAAAAGTATTTTCCAATAATTGGAAATTTACAAGTAGTGTATTTGTTAATTGTAATATATATTAGAGCATACCTTACTTTAAAACTGATTAATATACATAAAATTATCAAATTACTCAAGAAGTTTTGATATGTATTTGTAATCACATTCAATTTTAAATACATACTTGGGTGTTAATATTTCTTTATACTGAAGTTTCTCCACCCTTATGGCTGGTACTATACAACAAGGAATGACAATATTATTAATATCAAAGGCGCTCTCTCGGCGTCTACGTCCAGTGAAGTTTGGTACAACTGAAAAATTTTTATAATGTATGTAAATATTTTTGATAAAATATACCCAAAGATTAATAACCACATAATTTCTGAACACATAAATTTTAAAAAAACGTTAATTTTTTTATTGTAACATTAAAATCTAAGTACAGTAAGACCCCACTTAATGTTAATTCGATATAATGCGGTCTGCTCAAAGCCTAAAAAAGCTCAAAATTTACGCCGATTCAACTTATCGTGGCATTTCATTGATTATTCCCAAACATGAACCAATCAGCAAAAGGTGGCAATTTATTGTAGCGCTGTACTTTCCTTATAACATTATGGATGACATAGGCAATGTCGACTTTTTTTGGCAAGAATTAACTGATAAATGCATGAATGAAGTGTGGAAGAAGTTATGGCTGAAGGTATCCAAGAATTCTCAATGAGAAGAGCCTAATCAATACAGAAGGACTAGGAAATGTAGATGAACAGGATATTGAGAAGTTACTGCAGGTTTCTGGTGACAGTCTTATCTATGACAACCTTCAAGAACTGGCAGAACAAGGAATTCATGTAGAATTGGAAAACAGAGATTCTGAAAACAAAGAATCCAAAAAATTTCTCTACTGATTTCTTTAGTAAAACTTTGGTAACGATAACTGAAATAGTTGATCAAATTGTAGTAAATGATCCATGATCCATTTTGACAGGAGTGCAATAACGAAATGAGGCATTTTGGATGCAATCTTTTGCTACTGACATTTGCTTTAGGAAAGTAAAAAAGCGACAAATGAAACTAAGCAACTACATTGCAAAAAACACAAATTTCAGAAAAGCCAGGCCTTTCATCACAAAAAATGAACTGTAAATTTCTGTGTGCATATGTTTATGTGTTATTTAACATATATTATTATGCAAATTAATATAAAAATAAAAATAATATTAATTTAAAATTAAAATTTGTTTATTTTTGGTTGCGTGTTCCCCTTTTTCTATTTACTCTATGTTAAAATGACCTCATTTAACGCTGTTTCATTTAGCACTTTGTCATTTAGGAATGCATCCCTGTGTTAAGCGGGGTCTTACTGTACTTTCACTTTAATTTTAGGCTTTCTAAGCTAAAAAAAAAAACAAATATATATATTGTCAATATTGGAAATATCTGTAAAATTGCATATTATTTTCAATGTGTATCATAAAATGATTATTTCACTCAGTTATTTTATGAATATGAATATTTGGAAATACAGTCACAAACACAAACACAGTATTTGTGTTTGTGACTGTATTTCCAAATATTCATATTCATAAATTCTTAAAGAGAACAATTTTTTAAATACTTAAAATTTCAAATCAAATAATGTGAAATTTATTACATATACAACAATACAATATAATATGCATACAGAAACAACTTAAATTAATCAATAAAAATTAGTGACAAAAGAACAGATATAGTAAATAAATAAAAGTTAAATATAGAAATTTTTCTCTGCACTTCATAATAAAATACTGTATATTTTTATTTCTGTAACAGAACAGATTTTATATTTTGATGACCTGTTAAAGAAATAATTAAATAAGCTATATTTATGACTTTAACTAATAACCATTTATACTTGCCAAAATAAAATGTATTCAAAAGAATAAATATAATTGGAATATTTATATTAGTGTTCTATATTTACAAAAATAAATAATTTGTAAAAAAAAAAATCTGTATTCTGATAAAAATATTTTGAAGATATCTAGAAATATTTGAGAATAAACTGATACTGATAGTTACTGTATGTCTGATCTTTAACTCCTTTATCTTAAACTGAATCTTCTCTGTTTCAAATTATAAAAGTTTTAATAAGTTATCTAGATCCATAAATATCTGGAAAGTATTTCTTTATCAAAACTCATTTGAAATACATGGATATGTAATATTAATTTAATTTAAGAATAAACTTTTTCCTTCAGAAAAATTATTTCCAAATGGAGGCCTCTTTTGAAATCAAATAATTCATCTATTAGCTGCCAGATGCTATCTCTGCTTTTTGTGAAAAGGAACAGATGCTTCACTTACAAATACAAATGTTTATATTTCAGAAATTTTTGATATGTGATATGTATTAAATAATATATGATTATTTCCAAATCATTTACTTAACTGGTATATAAAATAAGAAATCTTGCAAGTTAACAAATAATAGTTACTGAAAGCAATTAATTCATTTAATTTTAACTATAATTTATTTTCATCTGATTTATATATTGCATTCAGAACTTCTGTAAGGATAAATTTAATATAATTAACAATAACACAATTTGAAAATTTTTAAACTTGTGTTGTAAAAATTCATCATTTAAAAGATGTAAAGAATATATTGGACCAATACATACATTTTATATTTTGTTTGAATCTTTGAAATGAGATCTGAATTTGTTTGATAATGAAAACATTGACAAAACTTGAGAAAACAATAACTATTCAATGGTTGTACTAATTATAATAAAAACTTTACATTAATTCACACAAATTTAATTTTTAAAATTACTTTAAGTTTTAATACAACTCAAAATAAATATTACAACAAACAAAACTTGTTAACACGATATTATATAGAAATGTAGAAAAGTAAATTTTTTAAGATGAATAATTTTCAATTCTGCATTGTAGAAATACAATAAAATAACTGCATAAAACTATTTATATTTTTAATATTAAAAGTAATTAATTATACCATAAACAAAAATATTTTCTAATATAAAAAATTTGAAATCCAGATTTATAAATAGTAATAAAGTATGATTATAAAAATATATAATCCATTTATATTTAATTATTTCCTTTATGCTAAATACTGATGTTATTCAAATGATAACCTTTACAGGAATTCTGAAAACAGGGAAATAATGTAAAATTAATAAGTACCATAAAGTACTATAGGTAGGTGCCATATTTATTTATTTAAGAAACAAACTTTAATAGAAAATGAAATTAGTCATTACAAAGAAAAATACCAGTTGCCATTTCAAGTATACTTTGTTTTAAAAATTAAAACTTTTATAAATAAATATTTAACTACTTTATTAATAAATGAACACAAACAGATATGTGCAAAAGAAATAATAGCCACCCTTGAATAGTAAATACAGAGAAAAATATGCAATTTAAAATAGTAGTCATGGCTATTATTCAAATATAACCAGTACTAATATTGAACAGAACTATTTATTATATTCATTTGAAATTTTAAAAAATTTAAATTTTAATCATTACATACCATCTTGAGTAAAAGAGTAAAGATTTGGTGAACATGGTCTTGAATTATTTGGAGAAGAGTTTAAACTCTGATTTTGATCTTTTTGTTTTTTAGCTGAACCTTAAAATTTTAAAACAAAAATTAAAATTCTGCACAAATCAAATTTAATAAATGTATACAATAGACTCAAATACATAACAAAAACATACACCGAATAAATGGGATTTATATAAATTGTCACATTAATAACAACAAAAACAAAAAATACAGTCTCAAACTAGTATTTATGATTATTAGTCTGTTCTATATCTGTAAAAATATAAAAATTTGAAAAATATTTTCTGATACTTGCTACTCAGAAAATTCACCAGTTTATTTTAGTATACATTCTAATCATCAAAAGTTCTTAAAGCAAAGCAAAGCCTTTTTAATTTTTGTTGTTGTCTTTTCTATGTAATTATTAATATAAAGTTGATGTAGCCTCCAAGGAAATGTCAAAGCTACCATTTGAATAAGCAGAATTCTTGATTAAAATTTTTAAACATTGATGCTAAATTATTTACATTATTTTAAAATCACTTTAGATATAAGTACAATCAGAATATTACATTCTAGTAATGAACATGTAGCTACATGTACTTTTAAAAAGTATGAAAAATAGTATTTGCATTTTTACTTAAAAAAAATAAAGTTTTACTTTAGTATACAGTGGTACCTCAGGATACAAAATTAATCCGTTCCAAAACTGAGATCATATCATGAAAATGTCGTAAGGTGAATCATTTTTCCCCATACTATCACATGTAAAACTAAATAATTCGTTCCAACACGAAAAACACACTCAAATTAAAGCTAAGTAGTGCATTGAAAAAAAATAATTATAGTAAGGAAAACACCAAAAAATGCGTTTTGTATTTGTAAATGTATAAATAACCATAATAGTATAATAATTGATTAAAAAAATGTAGTTTTATTTGCACTTTAACTTTTAACTTTGAGGATAGACTACAGTGGAGGTGTAAACTGGTGGCGGAAGAGAGGGAGAAGGGATGACTACAAAAACTTAACTTACATAATATAATGTAACAATAACTTAAAAATAACTTAGAAAAGATAAAAAGAATTAGTGTTATTTTATATAGATTTTTTAAATTTTTATTCACTGCTTTTTGCTTTCTTTCCTTCACTTCCACCAGCACTTTCACTGGATAGAGGTCGCTTGGTAAAATATCTATCTAAAGAGGTTTGGCTTTGCCTACTTTTTAAAATTTTTCTAAAATAACTTAGGCAAATGTCATTACTCCCAGTAGCAATATGGCTAGTGTGAATCTTTTTGGGATGTTTCTTTTCAATAAAATCAGCCACTTTCTGATAATACCTCAGATTTCCTTTATTGAGCGAGATCCTTCCACGACGAAGCAAACCGAGCAAAATGAAGCGAACTAATGTAACATTGTATGGTGAGTTTTTGTTTGTATCGTGAAGTAAAAATATGTTCGAATTTCATGTCGTATCCTGAAAATTTCGTATGCTGGGGCATTCATATCCTGAGGTACCACTGTATATTGTTATTTTCTGATATATCTAGGATTTTATAAAACTCAATTCTTATTCTTATATTTGTCTTTTCATGTTGGCATATTTTAGTAAATTAAAATGTATTTAAAATGGAGATGGGTAAATATTGCTTTTCTGAAATTTGAATACTAACTAGTTCTTGGCTATTCAAATACTCAGAATACTTAGTGAACTTAATTACCTTATATAACTTTAGGTCAGCAATTTATTTATATTGCACATTTATTATTAATTTGTAATTTATTTTAAGGTATTAATAAATTAATAAAGAAAAACAAAAAATAAAGATTTCCTAAATTTTAAGAAATGAAACTTCAAACTTTTAACTTAGACTTATAAATTATTGCTTTTCTAGGTACTCTTATCTCAATCACAATAGATTAATTAATCAGATAATTGTTTTCATTCTCACTCACTGCAGATTTCTATCTAAGAAAACAAGAATTTGAGAACATTCAAGATCTAGCCTACTGCTTTTCTCACAAATTAGCACCTCTTCAGCACCTCTGGTTTTCTGTACACAGTGGCATTTACAAGAGAATACCATTGAGACAAAATTAAAATCTGTTTTTAAGAACAACATTTGGAAGTTCAAACAAACACTTATGATGGCAAATATGGTTTATCAGATCTTCCACAATACAACTGTCATGTATGTGTTAAAAGATACTTAACAACTTAAAAATTAAAAATATTTAAAATTTTTAAGTTAGCCTCCCCTTTGCTTACTTCTGGATCTGCCTACTGTGAATGTATGTAAGGAGCAATACTGAAGGTATTTGTAGTATTCAAAGTTTTTTTTAATCAACATAATATTTGAGATCTTGAATTGTTTTAGTATATAAGTATTTGCTCACCTCTAACTTAAAATTATTTACCTTCATATATAAACAGCAGTAAACCTGCTTAATATAACCAATAAATAATGGAAAATGTAATATCTTTCAATCAGTATATAAATTTGATAATAGAAAGAGCTCACATTTCAAGAATAATTAGAATAAGTTTCCATATTATTAATAATTGAAATTCTCATGAGATGATGACTTCAGCTACCTCCAATATTTGTTGATAAATTAATTTCAAATTAACTTAGAAATAGACTGTTCGAATCAATTAAACATATGATTCAAACATAACCAACAACAGACTTATCATATAGTAATATATGTTTATTCAACATTAAATTTAACAATATGCAGAAGACTAGTATGCATTTTGACAACAAAAAACAATCTTTGTCCTACAGAGAAAAAGGTATTTCATATATGAATATGTCATATTATATGAACAGACTGTTCCAGTTTTGTGAATGTTAAATTTCAACATTACTAAGTTTCAATTTTGTTAACTTTTGGACTTTACCTATATAAAAAATTATATATAGACAGGATTGATAACCTTATAAATTTTAAGAAAAGCAATATTTCAGTATCATATTTTCTTTAATTTCAACTTTCTTCTTAATTTTTAAACCAATTTTTATTTATGTTTATAGTTTCTAAATGAGGAGATCTGGTACAAAACCTAATATGTCCATCAAGAAAAAATTGACACATTGCTTAGATTTTAATCAAGTTTATGCTCTGGATATGTTACTATTTGCACTGAGCAGTCATATTTTGTAAGAAAATATGAGATCTGTTACTTTTTAGTAAATTATAATTTAATGATGTAAATGTCACTTCCTTTTTGATCACAGATAAATTCTTTACTTCAATTTAAAAAAAAAAAAAAAAGGATATATTACCTTTTGCATCTGAACTCCCAAACTTCATCAGATATTATTCTACAATATAATTGTAGAATGCTATCTGATGAAGGAAGAGTACTTAGTTATATTTTTAAGGCACAATAAAATTTCATTGCATCAAATCATGTGTTGATTCATAATCTTCAGTTAAAAGAAGAAATAAATTTACTTTTTCAGATTTAACATATGATAATGATGATGATAATCATCATTATCATATGTTAATAATGATGTAAATAAAGATTTAACATATGATAATAATGATGATGATAATCATCATCACTATTATCATATGTTAAATCTGAAATCTTAAATCTGATTGCCATATGATAATGATGATGATTATCATCATCATCATCATCATTATCATATGGCAGTACAACACACATAAGACATACAGCTCACTTATAAGACACAGGGTCTGTCTTACAAGTCATCAAATTTAATAATAATAAAGTAATTTATAAAATTTAGTACAGATTTTACAAAATACATAGCATTAGTAAAACATTTATATATTGCAAAAACTTTTATAAAAGAAAATAAAAACAAGTACAGTAAAATTTCTCTTAGTGAACAACTCCCTTAAGTGAACAGTCAGAAAATTCCTCATATAAGTGTATATTTCAATTTTCCCCCAAGTGGTCTCATTTTAATTAACCAGTTGTAATTCCTGATCGTTCCCTATACAATAATAGGTGCTTGGTTAATTTCCTGCTGTCAAATTTTACTCCTGCAAGCTAAGTTAAATAAACAAGCCTTAGCAAGAATGCAGAATTTTCTAGAGATCCTGAGAGATAAAATGCAGATAGTGTTTGTCACATTATAGCAACAGTCAACTTGTTATTTGTACTTAGGAATAAAGTAAGTGCTTTTATCAAATATAAAACAAACCAGAGTCATGACTTGCCAATAAAATGGCAATTTCTTGATTTGTAATAAAAAAATCCTATCATTAGCTTGCTAGCACCGTGAGCCTTGAGTTCTGTGCTGCAGATACAACCTTTTCTCCAGATTTCTGTTTGTCACTATTCTCCAGTTGAATATTCTTAATAGTTTTTAGGTCTTTGTTTGGCCCAACCATCTTTTTTTGGTTACTATCTTTCAGATTAGACTCTTTCCATTGTTTGAATGTAGACAAATCTAGGAACATTCTTCCAACAAAATCCAGAAATCTAATTTGATTGTCTTTAAAATTCCCTGTTATATATGTGACATTGTCCGGTTAATGTACAGGTATCTCTCATATAACACAATAGTTACATTTCAAAAAAGTGCAACATTATGCGAATCTATTCTATATGAAACAAAGAACTAACTCAAAACATAGGGTTACATCATACAAAAGTATACTATTCTTTTTCATTACTAAGAGAAATACGTTTATTAAAGCAATCGATAATTTATTTCCAATCAATAATTAACTAACAATCACAATTAAAAGTACTGTATTACATTAATCATTGAAGACAAGTCTGTCCAAAAGGGGCCACCATTTATTTTGTATTCCAGACTTTACACATACACATCTATGGCGACAGGCCTTCCTTTTTAGGCTTCATGCCGCCAGAGGTAAAAAAAGCCGTTTAAAAACACAAACATCCAATTAAAAGGAATCGGTGATACACAGACATCTTACTTTTCATCCATCTGGCCAATTATGTAATTATGTAATATTAACTGTATTACATGTTAATATTAATTTTATTTAAGCAAGGATGTTTTCTTTTTACAAAGTATCATTGCCATCTCAGCTTTTTTGCTGATCTTGATCAGAAGTATAAGATACATTTTCATATTTTATATTTATCATAAAAAATTTTTTTATGGATGACAAAATAAAAATATGTTATTAATTAAACATTTGTTCTAGCAAGTCACATTTGTTCAATCAAGTACTGAGATACTGCCGTATTTCGTTTGTCATTTTATGAATGATTGCTTACCTACAGTTGAAAAAAATTTAATAACACTTACCTATAAATGTTTATTTAAACTTTACTAGATACGAAGATCAATCTATGAAAAGAAAACACAGTGACAGTCTTAAGGGCTAAGGTCTGAAATCAATAATGACACACGGTTCATAAGACAAGGAAGAAAAAAATTGTACTAACTTTCCTATCTGTTTTCATTAGAGTAAACCTGACAAAAAGCACAAAGTAATTTGAAAATTTCAACATTCTAAAATCCATGGGCAAATTTGAGATAACTTGTGTGTTTACTTGAATAAAAATTTTTAATATTGAAGTTTACACTTAAAAATTGTGAAATTTTCAACAGAGAATTTCCAAAACCATGTTAGAGCAAAACCGAAAGTCATGTTGTACAGGAGATATCCACAATTTTCAAACTGTGTTGTAGAAGTACAGTGTTGTATGAGAGATACTTGTATTTCTGTGAAATGTAAATAACAAACTAAGATGAAAAAACAGTTATAGCATTTTGAAAACACAATTCTGCAAAGCTTTTTGATTCAGTCTAGAACAATAAATGAAAAAATAAATATTCATTCAAAATTTTATATTCAAAAAGTAGGTCAAGTTCGACAGACGTATTTATTAACAAGAGCATATTAACTATAATTAAATTACATGGAAAAAACAGCATTAAGAGAATATACAATTTTGCCTTGTTACAAAGGTCTTTGATAATTAGAATGTAGAATGAAATCATCCAGTGAATGCTCACTGAGTAGCTAGTATCAAGAATCAAAAAATATAATGATTTATAAGATAAAACACAACAACAACCATAACTGTTGTATTGCTTTACCTCTATCCATATAACTAACAATGATTCCTTAATTTAAGAGTTTAATTCTCTGTTTTCTTCTCACTACTACTATTTGTTTTCTATCTTCATTCATTTCTTTTCAAACTTTAATTTTTTACACAATGTTTTTAGATTCAAACACACTATACATAAACCAGTACAAGCTAATTGTAAATTTCATGAGACAAGAATAATTTTTCTACTTATTCTTCTCATTAATTTTAAGCTAAAAAGTCTAAAATTAATCAGAGACACACATAACATTTTTATATCTTTTTCAAACTTTTAAAGCTCATTTTAAGCTCATTTAAAGCTGTTTTTCACCTTATAAACAAGAGAAAGGCTAAAAATATTTCTGTTTTTGATCAATTAGAATATATGGTTAAGAAGTGTCTATCTTGCATTATTTAATAAAAATATTGATATGCATTATGATATATATGATAAAAATAAATAAATTTATCCATATAATCAACTATTTCTACTTCTACCTAACTCAAAAAATTAGATTCTTTCTTAAAAAGTCTAAAATAAAATTGTATATTTTTGTTTGCAATTTGAAATGAAGGTTTATAGAGATAATAGGTAAGAAAAAAAGAATAATTTATATAGTTTTTATGAACTTAAAAGTATTCACAACCTCTCTTTAATATATGATAAGATATGAATTAAAAAAAAAAAAGGTTTATAGTAAAACACTATATCCAAATATTTATTTGTGAAACAAAGATTAACTTTCCAAAAAGTCTGCTACAATTATTATTACAAGTCAAGGAAACTAATATTTGCTTTTTTGTGTTTACATATTTGAGTCTATTTGTATGAACTAATTGAATTTTGCTAATAAAAATCTTAAATTATTCCACAATTTTTGTATTAGAATATATTTTATAGTATATAAATCACAATGAAGCTTAGTTTTTTTTAATAAAAATTTTCAATTTGTAATTTTTAAAAACACTTTTACTTATTGTATGGTCTATATTTTAATTATCCTTTGTAAATTTTTGAGAATCAATTCTAATTTGATCTTAAATAAAATAAAATACTGTACATAATATATGACAGTCAAGAATCTAATATAATATTTTATCACAAAAACAATAAAAGTTTAAATCTAATACCTGATGATGAAAAAAGCATTTCTGCTATTCTCTTTGCTTGTTTATGTCGTTTCTTTTGGTGCTGGGATGATGCAGATGATAATGAAAATGTAGAAGAGGAGGATGAGGATGATGATATTGATGAAAGATGCCTTTTACTAAAAAATTTTATAATTTGATTAATATTTTGTTATAATAACTAAATTACATTAAATATTTTAAAATTTTATTGTATCATTAGAAATTTATACTGTTGATAAATATATTACCAATAAATTTTTAAGTTAATTTAGCAATTAAGTAAAACAAAAATGACAAACTAAATAAATATTTCTGAGAGTATTATTTTTAAAAGCATACATACAGATGTTACAATTTCATAATTTTATATTGTATTCAATATATTCCTATCCTCCAATCAGTTACCTTAAACTCTCATATCATCTATTTAATTTTTATACTATAATTATAGTTANAAAAAAAAAAAAAAAAAAAAAAAAAAAAAAAAAAAAAAAAAAAAAAAAAAAAAAAAAAAAAAAAAAAAAAAAAAAAAAAAAAAAAAAAAAAAAAAAAAAAAAAAAAAAAAAAAAAAAAAAAAAAAAAAAAAAAAAAAAAAAAAAAAAAAAAAAAAAAAAAAAAAAAAAAAAAAAAAAAAAAAAAAAAAAAAAAAAAAAAAAAAAAAAAAAAAAAAAAAAAAAAAAAAAAAAAAAAAAAAAAAAAAAAAAAAAAAAAAAAAAAAAAAAAAAAAAAAAAAAAAAAAAAAAAAAAAAAAAAAAAAAAAAAAAAAAAAAAAAAAAAAAAAAAAAAAAAAAAAAAAAAAAAAAAAAAAAAAAAAAAAAAAAAAAAAAAAAAAAAAAAAAAAAAAAAAAAAAAAAAAAAAAAAAAAAAAAAAAAAAAAAAAAAAAAAAAAAAAAAAAAAAAAAAAAAAAAAAAAAAAAAAAAAAAAAAAAAAAAAAAAAAAAAAAAAAAAAAAAAAAAAAAAAAAAAAAAAAAAAAAAAAAAAAAAAAAAAAAAAAAAAAAAAAAAAAAAAAAAAAAAAAAAAAAAAAAAAAAAAAAAAAAAAAAAAAAAAAAAAAAAAAAAAAAAAAAAAAAAAAAAAAAAAAAAAAACAAGTAAAATGGCAAAGCCATTCTTGGGACGAGACTATGTCTCAAAGAGTGCAAATCTTGCCTGTTTGTAGAAACAGTTTCAGCCTTTTGTATTTTATTCTGACCTAGTTCTTGGTCCCCTGACTATCTACAAGTCTGTTTTTTTTTATGTGTGCATGATTTGGGCACCAAATACTCTATGCCAAATTGCAACTCCTGATATGTACTCCTCCTTCATACCTCTAAGGTGTGCAGCCATTGACAGCAGTGCAATTTTAGAGACAAGACATAGTCTTGTCAAATAGTAAATAATAATAATGAGAAAAATCTTCATTAAATTCAATCTACTCAAGATATGACACCCCTTGATCTTTAACCACAAAATTTAACAGTATCAATTTTCCTTATACACAAAGATCTTGAAAAATTTCAGAAATTTTTGACAAAAAACATAGGAGCAGGTGAACAAAACTGTATCACACACACACAAACATCCATACATACAGAAAAAATCCCCAATGTTTTGTTTGCATTTCTTAACATTTAAAGAACCTGAGTAAAAAAAAAATGTAAAAATCTGGGGAATCAATTGAGACCGAGCCCTTGATTTTGCTATATTTTACGAAAATTTTAAGCCTAATTTCCCTTCACGATCATTAAGAAAACATCACAGGGGAAAAAGTATTAAATGTTGTCTTCTCATCAACAACCACTAAGAAAGGATAACAATTTACAGTTAAAGGGATGAGAATGTCAACATTCACCCACATAAACAGGCTGAATCTAACATTGCACAAACCAAAGATTACATTCTACGTCCAATTTCGACACCTTCTCTTTATCTCCCTGGATCACCTCTGACCCAACACCTGCAAATTCAACCTTCGTCTTCAACAACACTCAATCACATAATCATTTTCCAGGCCAAAATGAATATAAAGCTGATACACCCCACTTCGGCACAATCATCTCTCCAAAATCATTTTTACTCTGTGCACCCCTCCAAGTTGCGCTTGTCTCCTAGAAATCCTTTAGACTGTGCAGATTCTCCTCAAAAGTTCTCCAACATCGGCTCGCTCACCAAAACCCAATCAATTCTTGAAGTCACTAGAAGAGGGAAAGAGGTAGGATAGTTCTCAAACTTTTGTAAACTCTCTCTCTCAGTGTGATGAACTGTTATCGGTAAACTAGGATGGTTCGCATACCCTCTCGGTCCGGAGTAAGCACTTGATTGTCAACCGTTGTCTCTGGAAATCGTGTAACCATTTTGTTGTTATTAGTTAAATTTAATTATTCATTAAAATTTTGATTTTTCTTAATTACTTATGGTGTCTGTTTCTTGAGTATTGCCTACATTTTACCGATGGCCCTCTCACTCCCATTCAACCTGATAAGCTAATCCTGAACCACGGGAAATGCACAAAGAAGAAACATACCATCTACTGACCCTGTGTTAGTGGTTATTACCTAACCGTTGCTGGTAAAGGGATAAGACCTCGACCTTACCCCCAGTACTCACACAATTATTGACTGACCACTATACTTTCCCTGTTATATATAACAACTGGAAAAGCAACAATAAATTTAATAAGAACTAAGACTACTTTGAGCAGTCATCTTCAAGTTAACGTATGTTCTAAAATTGAACAGTAATTTGAAGAAAATATTTAAGTGATTTATAATAATGTATAATAAAATATTTAAAAAGGATAGAACAAGTCTCTGGTTGGATGGTGCAGTAAGATTTACTGCAGCCATTTACAAATGAAAAAAATTTCAGCATGACTTCAAAATATGACCTCCAAGCCTGGAAGAGGGTGTCACTGTTCTTAAAATTGATGGTAGTATTTTTTCTACAGACTTTATATATCTCTCAAGATATGATCTGAAGTTGACTGCTCAAAATAGTTGAAAACATTAGTTTTCATTAAATTTATTGTGTTTTGTTGGATTATTTGGTGTTTGAGTCTTATCTTTCAAACTGAAAAAATTATTTTTTGTTTCAAAAATTAAATTAAGTTTCTTTAACATTTCAAAATAAAAAAGTGCTACTTTTTAAATTTTTTACAAATTATAATGCTTAAAATGGATATAATGAATCAAAACAGAAATTATTAACAATAAAGTTCAATTTATGTTTTAACTAATAGGGAACTATTATATATTATATAAATGAAATTACATAACCTAACATTATATAAACAAAGTATCTTGAAATTCTTTATTTGTAATTCACAGAAATTTGTCATTCTGAATTAGTTTATACTAACACAAACAATAAATCTTATGAGTGCCACTCTTGCTTAACACTATCTTTCTCAAAGTAATTCTTCTAAATTATTAAATATTAAAGAGATGCCGAATAGTCTTTTTCTACTAACAAATTCTGATTAATGACCATATTGTCTCTAATATTCTCATTAAAGTTTAGTTAAATTGCAGTAAATTGATGAATTAATTAATAATTCAATCTTTACTTAATAAAATTGTATTCTATGTTTCTGATTCTATATTTTGATGATCAATATAGTTTTACTTTCGACCAACAGATGGTAGCACTATACATAACATAACAAGCAGATTTTATACATTAATAAAATTAATCTATTTGACTTTTTCAATATTTATGGATTGAATATTAAAATATTTCATATGTGATGACATGTTAACAGATTATTATTAAAATTTTAAAAATAATTTTTCAGAAATGTAAATTTCAAAATAGAATACAATATAATAATAGAAATGAGGTGTAAAAAATATAGCAAAATATATACTATATTGTATAATTTTGAACTTGTTTAGAATAAAAATGTGAATTTAATAGAATTACTTTTCTACAAAATAAAATTTGTTCTAGTTTATTACTTAAAAAGTAATACTAATGTTGCATATACTTTGATAATTAATTCATAAAATTCAATTAAACAGAATCAGTTAGACACAATTAAAATTGCCTAACATTATACAGAACAGAGAACAAAATTTCAGACAAGAAATTAAGATAAACCAATATGACTGAGATTAACTGAACTGTGTAAACTCAATTTCAATTCAGAATCAAATATTACATTGAAATATCTAAACATAGTAAATATTAGCTTTTGGATCATAATATACTGAAATAAATGCAAAATAATAAGACAGATGTTTTTCTATAAACTGAAAGGCTGAGCACAACAGTGGTCTAAACATCCCCCTTTTTTAAAGTAGAGGATATATCTACTTAAAAAAAAGTGGTGTATACAAATTTTCATATTTGGCTGTTATATTTTTTTCATCAATACTTAAATGGAACCATAGTAATCTTTCATTATATTTAAAGACAGTATATTTAATACACAAAAGTATGGCATTGTTAACTAAATTATTAATTTTATTAATTTGAATAAACAAATTTAAAGAGAAATAATGAAAATTAGTATTTGAGCAATTATATACAAACTATAACTGATTAAGAGTATTTTGGTATATTGACAAAGAAAAAAAATCCAGCAATGAGTTGCATGACTTTCCTGGCAAGAGTTAAGCTTGTATGTGGCACCATCTATTATGAGATTTTATTTTAAAATTTTTTTTATATTATTAATTATTTTAAAATGACAAAAAGCTTAATTTTGAGGGTAGAGAGGAGTTTTATAAAAAAAAACTGTAAATGCTAATAATAAGTAAACTCTTCATTAAGTCAAACTCCACTTGAGATACAACACATGACCCCCCCTCCATCTCCTCACCTCCTTTACCTTTAAACCATCAAAATTTAATAACATCAATTCCCCTAAGACAAAAAACTCCCTGCAGAATTATAAAAAAAAAAAAAGTATAGGAGTTATTAAGCTTCAATGTGGGCAAACAAAATTGTGCACCCCATATACAAACATCTGTCTGTACATACAGAAAAAAATCCCCAACTTTTTTTTACATTTCTTCATATTTCAAGGTCCTGAGTCCAAAAATGTAAAATCTTGGAGGTCACTTTTTGACCAATTCCTATATTTTCCTCATATATATAACAGCTAGAAAAGTAAAAAGTGAAAAATTTCTAAAAATTAATGAATTATTTAGAAAGTTGTTATTTAAAAAAAATTATAATTTACTACAGCCTCAATATATTGTTGTGTGACCGAGGGGTCGGCACCTCTTTGGCGCCTTGTCAGGATGACACCACCGAGCCTCTAGGGGACTCGGAACTCGCGACTTTAAGTCTAAAGCTTCACGAGCGGTAGCGTGTGAGCGCTTGGATTCGGAGTAGAGGTGAGGAGAGAGAAACGAGGAAGTGATTCACTCGATTCCAGATTAATAAACAATAACAAATTTATTTTAACGAGCAGGAGTACATGATATACGATCATAGACATCTTGGATTGATATATATATATCCATATTCTATATCCCTAGATTATCGAATCTAACTGTCGCGAGAGAGAGAGAGTTACAGGATATTCGCGTGTGGATAAATACCTTATAGAGAGGTCGAGGATTGATGACTGGATGATTCTCCGTCAGGATTCTTGGGATGTTGGATGGAATGTTCTTGATATTTAGAGTGTTCAGGTAACAGGAGCAACTTCGGAGGGAGGTATCCGACTGGTGTTGAGGCACTTAGGTGGGTAAGATATACTTATGATAAGGTCGGCGGATGCACGATATTTTGCACGGTATAAATTCTTCAGCGGACGAACTTTGGAGGACGACTGACTTCGGGATCT